TATCATGAAATGGAAGAAAAAGGCATTTTTCCAACAGTTTAGAAATTTTTATCGAAATTTTGTTTTTTGGCTAAACACCTTTTAATACTTATGTTCATTTGAAAACACATTTTCCATATATAAATTTTGCTGTTAAACCCTGTTTAAAGGCTCAAAACATGTAATTTTCAGTTTTCAAGGACTCTCAATTAAGCTATTGAAGTTTCCAAGCTTCATCGGCCATTTTCTCATTAATTTAACCACTGAAACCAGGTTACCCCACCTTCTTCAATCGCAAACATCTCGACTTCTATTCAACCTTGATGGATATTTTTTTCACTGAAAGCAAGGCAAATGAATAAACTTTCAGAAGACATCTTAACTCCACACGCCCAAAAATTGACGAGTGCCTGATTCCACCACGTTGTGACACATATGTACAGACTTCAACATAAGTTAAGGACCACCTTGACAAACAGCCCCGATTTTTTTTTAATCAGAAAAAAAAAAAACGACAGCAAGGAATGTTTCAAAATTCGTTTGCTCTGAAAGTGTTAATGGGTTACCAATGCGTACTGCAAAGCTTCCTAAAGGGGCAAAACCACCACGTGCCGCACGGAGATCTTCGGGGAGTTTTAGCCAAATTTGCTGTTTTTTATCAACTTGTGTGCAACACCACCAACATTCCTCAGTTAAAATTTATAGCGCACATCATAAACGGATGTATGGTCTCGAACTGTGCTTACTTTGGTGGCAATATAAGCCGCCGTTTGCACAAAATCCAGTAGCGCATCAATGCCAACAAGAAATCTGGGAGACTTTGATCGTGCCAGAGCTATGGCATGGCTGCAGGATGGAGTTGGAGCACGAGAAGTGGCCAGAAGGCTTGCAGTGTCACACTCTGTCATTGTCCGCTTGAGACAGCACCATCACGCCACTGGATCAGTCCAAGAACGCCCTCGCGCACGTCGACCCAAGAAGACCACTCAGAGGATTTGCAAGTGGTCCTTTAACTAAAGTTTAACTCTTTATCTCGGGCAAGCTGCTCCCAGCAGCTCGGGGTCGGAACCACTGTGTTATTGGGCCGCTGACAGCGGCTCAGGCACATTCCTTTACGATGTTGACGACTTCGACATCAAATTCCTTTTCGGCAATTGCCGAAAACAGATCTCTTATACCAGAAGTTCATTCATTATGAAGAACTATCAAAAGAGGTTTGCTAGTTTCGATTTAATAATCCATTTAATGACTTTTTGTCATTTTTAGATTTAGCACCAAAAAAGGGCCCTGGCATAGTGGGTTCACCCCCCCTCGGCGATAAAGAGTTAGCTTATGTCGAAGGCTGTAAAAGAGGACTAAGAAAAACATATCCACTGAGCCAGAGAGAGTTGTGTCGTCTTATGACAGAAAAACGTGTCATGCCAAAAATGAAATTTGACAGGAGAAGCAACAAAAATAAATTTCTTGTGTGTGTTTAAAATCAACTCAAATTTGGTCGATCTGATTATTTCATGTCAGTATATTCATTAACCGGTCTAACTTTTGTCTGATTTGCTGAGGTATACAGTAAAAAGTTTTGCAGTAATTGATTCAAATTTCTTTTGTCATAACAATATTGATATAGAGTAATTAGGTCACAACGCATATTCTTCAAAAGCCCAAAACTTCCGTAATTTTAATTGTACAGTCAGAGTGCTCATATGACCTTATGCAGTTCCGAGCGCCGTAAAACCCCATACTAAACTAAAACTAATTATAGTCATAAAACCAAGACAGAAAGACGTGCCGAGAAAAGGGTTTTCTCCCCTGTATAAAAACGCAACTTGACCTAAATACGCATAACCCCTCGGAGCGGTGGTACTGACTGGAGTGTCTTTAGGCCATTCCCAAAGAGGGGGACATCAACATTTCCAGTTCTTATGCACAGTAGAATTGAAAATGGCCTGATTCATCATGTCATGCTCATAACTGTGCCTGAACTACAACAGGGAACTGCTCCTTTTTCTTTCCTCATCCTTACTATTGTCATTTTCCTCTGCCATAGTATGTTTGTCACACTCTTGTGACCCGCTATTTCCGGGGTGCCTTGATAGTCGAAGCAGACTTTGTGTTGTTGAAGCTAGATAGGAGAGCAGAGTAAGTCTGATTCCCTGTAAAGACTTCTCTGTTGACATCCACCCCTTGGCGCTCATATGACCTTATGCAGTTGCGAGCGCCATAAAACCTCTACTAAAACAAATAAACAAATATGCATGTTGTACATTTTTTGGTCATAAGACGTCAGAGCTAGGACTAAGACAAAAGAAATTACACCGACCATCCATATTCGTATTATTCTCCCCCCCCCCCCC